AGAGCACGGTCTGGTTGAAATATGGAAGTATGTGAAGCCAAGGCGGTCTCATCAGTCTCCAATCATATTAAGAGCCACGGCTCCTCTTCATCAAAGCCAGTTACCTTATCAAAACTCAGCTTAAAGTTGCCGCTTCCAGGCTCCAACTAATGGCCACTGGTTGGTTTAGAGTCATCCTAATCCTAACCCTTTTTTTTAAATTCATCTTTAATATTAATTTGTTGTTTTTTCAACCCTATGCTTTTTTTTTAAAAAAAAAGCATAGGATTAGGCTTTGGAGCTGGAACTGGAGCTGAGGTTGGGGTTGACATCATCACTGATGATGACGATATCTTGGCCAAGACATCCAAGTGAGACAATTGTTAGAGAAGTGTGGGGACGGCCCCTTCCTGTTCCAACATGACTGTGTACAAGTGCACAAAGCAAGGTCCATGAAGACATGAACGAAGAAGAACTTGACTGGCCTGCACAGAGTCCTGACCTCAACTTTTGGGATGAGCGCAGACTGTGAGCCAGGCCTTGTCATGCTACATCAGTGTCTAACCTGATGTAGCATTCCTCCTTTCGATTCCGGAAGAATGTTCAAAAATTCCCATAAACACTCCTAACCATGGTGGAAAGCCTTTCCAGAAGAGTTGAAGCTGTTACAGCTGCAAAGGACGAGGCACATCCTGTTAAACCCTCTGGGTTAAGAAATAAATGTCACTGTGTGAAGGCAGATGAGCAAATGCTTCACAATATAGTGTTCATTGGATGTCCAACAACAGTAACAACAACAAACAAACCGTATCCACCCGTGTACCTCTGTATGAGCCATTTTACAGAGTAATGGCAGACTGGCCTATTAGCATATACAGAGACATTGGTAAACCAAGGAGTGCAAAGGCTATCAGATGACAAACACATGAAAGTTATTTCTGCTAGCTTCAGTTTGCTTGTCAGCAGCTCACTCTCACAAGCAGTCAGTGAATATCTAACAGGCAATGCAGAAATGTGAATGTAATCACAAGGCAAAGAATGGAGACCATGTGCCATGTAGAGCACAAAGGAGCTGTTAACTGTTTATGAACCTGATGGGGAAAAAAGCAGAATTTCATTGTATATGCACGATGACAATAAAGGCCTATTCTATTCTATTCTTTTCTATTCTATTGCATTTTACCTCAAGAAATGTGGGAACCACATAAAACATGTGTGAGAATGCTTTAGAGATGTCAACATTACATTCAGCACCATGTAGTGAAAAGGAAACGTTCACAGCACTTTGAAAGTGTGAAGAAATACATGAAGCAAACTGGGGTTCAGCCCACGATCACCATGTCCCCGGTACGTTTATAGT